CTGAATAGTATAGGGAGCCCTTGGCACAGCTCCATTTTCTGTAATGGTCAGAGGTGAGCGGAGAGAACGGGGCGCGATTTTTTGACCAATCTGGAGCCGAGTAGAAAAATTCTCTTTTCGTCCCGGGTCATGGGCGAATCAGGTGAAATTTTCCTTATTTGTCGCGGGGGTGTCACGTGACATGACGTCAGCAATAGGGACCCCCTACCTATGATTACCCCAGTGGGGTCAAGCATACAAGGGGGGTCAAGATTCCTTACAAAGACCAAGTTGGATATTTAGGTGTAGTAAGCCTTATCTTGAATTTACATGATACTGTGGGGCACATTGACATGAAGGGGGAATCATAGAACAGGATCTGCATGTGAGAGGGGTCATATTAGGGTTTTAAAGAAGTTAAGATAGCTTTAAAGCGTCCTGTGTGCTTGATGGTAGGTAAATGTTCAGTCAATAATTCTCGTGTTTTTAATCTGAATGAGGGGTCCTAGTTTGCGTTCTAGTCGTAAAATGAGTTCCTTAGTATATTTGCTATGGAAAATGAGCTTTCAGTACTCTATATAATTTGAAATGAGGTCAAGAAAGACATGTTTATATGCGAGAAGAGTCAGGTTGGAAACTGTTTATTCACAGTCATCCCCCCTCGGCTCTGCTCCGTTTTCTGTAGCCAAAGTAAAGATTCCATTTTCTGTGGCATTCAGTTGATTACTGGTGAAAAAGGCATGCTTGCATTTGTATGGTTCTAACCTGTTTATAGATTCTATAGATATATTTGTCGGGCCTCAAATTAGATTTTAATATGAAAAATAGCATCAAATGTATGTCTATCTTTTATAATAAACATTAAAAAACATTTACATTAGCTGCGATATTTCATAGAATACAAAAAGAATGCTAAATAGTGGGGCCTCAGCCATATTGTGTTGGGTTCGACGCCCCATAGTGCATTTTTAACACTAGTAAATATACTATGAAGGAAAACAGTTTAGTGTTTTAAGTAATTTAATATAAATTAGGAATCTGTTCATATTCCGTATTAAATTGCATTTTTTTTAACACAATAATACTTCACAGCTATTGTGGTGGGGGCCCCAATAACTCATGTAGCGACTACTGTTGCTATGCAATTCTTTTTGATATCATGTGTAAAAATTTAAAAGTCAGTTGCCTTTTATGTCAGTGGTGGTATATCAAGCGCAAAGGTTTTCAGAAAATGTTAGACCTCCACCTTTTGAAAAGTGTGAAGATGAATTCATGCAAGTAAGAAGGGCTAGCAAGAGTTAGTAAGAAGGCGGCTAGGATGAGTTAGTAAGCTGGAGAGAGAGAGAAGATTATCCCACCAAGTTTATCACACTCATTCTGGTTCGCACCCAGTGTCGAAGACTGTTCAGTTCTAGTCAGACGACCATGAAGATATTTTTCCCAGACATTGCAAGCTATCCCTCCAGAATGAGTGTGCAGTGCAGGAATGTCATACACTAAACAGTCTCCTGCTCTAAACTCATCATCATTATTAAGAAAATCTTCTACTAAACTTTCATCAAGTTTAGCCAATTTGGCAGCACTTACTGTGAACACATCTTCTTACATACTGAAATTTATATATTCATATATATATATATATATATATATATATCATCATATATATATATATATATATATATATATATATATATATATATATATATATATATATATATATATATATATATATATATATATATATACTTGGGGACTGTAAGCTCCAAAAAACCCAGTATATAGGCAAGACAACAACATCTCTTTCTAGGCGTTTAACGATGCATAAGCAACAGGGCTCCATTAAGGAACATATAATCTCTTCCCACAACCAAACCATCGCCAGAGAAATCCTAGTAAACAACACAGAAATCATCGATAGATACAGCGATAGCAGGCGGCTTGATGTCTGCGAGGCACTACACATCAAGAAGTCAACACCAGCAATCAACAGCCAATTAATGCACAACTATATTCTACCCACCTCAAGACTCCGCTCCAATATAGAAGCATCAAGAAATATGGACCAATAGGCTTTCTACAATCACTTCCATTCAATACCCATTGTTTCGTGTGAATTTTCTTATATTTCTTCCGCATCTGTGTTTAGCTAGTTTAAATCTATGACCTCTTGTTCTTAAAGTTCCAGGTCTCAGGAAATCTTCCCTATCGATTTTATCAATTCCTGTTACTATTTTGTATGTAGTGATCATATCACCTCTTTTTCTTCTGTCTTCTACTTTTGGCATATTTAATGCCTCTAACCTCTCCTCGTAGCTCTTGCCCTTCAGTTCTAGGAGCCACTTAGTAGCATGTCTTTGCACCTTTCCCAGTTTGTTGATGTGCTTCTTAAGATATGGGCACCACACAACCGCTGCATATTCTAGCTTTGGCCTAACAAAAGTCGTGAACAATTTCTTTAGTATATCGCCATCCATGTATTTAAAAGCAATTCTGACGTTAGAAAGTGTGGCATAGGCTCCTCGCACAATATTCTTTATGTGGTCCTCAGGTGATAGTTTTTTATCTAGAACCACCCCTAGATCTCTTTCTTCATCAGAATTCTTTAAAGATTTCTCACATAATATATAGGTTGTGTGGGGTCTATGTTCTCCTATTCCACATTCCATAACATGGCATTTATTAACGTTAAATTCCATTTGCCAAGTGGTGCTCCATATACTTATTTTGTCCAGGTCATCTTGAAGGGCATGACAATCATCTAAGTTTGTTATCCTTCCTATTATCTTAGCATCATCAGCAAACATGTACATATAATTCTGTATACCAACTGGTAGATCATTTATGTAGACAATAAACATCACTGGTGCAAAAACTGAACCCTGTGGTACTCCACTTGTGACATTTCTCCAGTCCGATACATTGCCTCTGATCACTTCCCTCATTTTTTTATCAGTCAGAAAATTTTTCATCCATGTTAGAAGCTTACTTGTGTGTGTGTGTGTGTGTAATTATGATTTAAAAAAATAGTATGATTATCGAATTAAAAAGTTGTATCTCTTTTACAATGCCTGGGGAAGGAGCAAGCCGTCCACTGTAGGAGGTGGACTAGGAGTGGGAGGAGGGAATGGTGGAAACATATTTCTTTCTCGGAACGACGCACATATATGGAGATCCAGTTCAGGTTCCGGTTCCTCACTCTCTCACAACCACGGAGAGTGAAAGACGTTCCTCTCATTTCTAAACTAAAGAGCGTGATACCGCTCCCGATGCAGGACCTGATGTTATCTCAATCACTCCTCCATCATCTCCAGCAACCGGTAATACTGCTGCTGGTGCTGCTGCTGCTGCTATGGGTGTGGGTGTGGGTGTGAGAAGTAGTAGTAATACTAGTTTAATCTCTGGAAAGATTCCGTGCAAAGCCAACCCTAAATCAACTCTAACCGTGGACGTAGAGGAGGGGGGGGGGGGCGGAGAGGAGAGAGAGAAGTTAATGGCAAAATTGGGAACCCGCCAAACACACAGCGAAACTACGACGTTGCTACAACGTTCGAACAAGATATAACACCTCCTAACCAGTTATAAGAACCAATATAACAAGTTGTAACAATGTTCTAATACGTCAAAAACACGTTAAGCCAAGATGTAACAACTTTATTACAAGTTGTAACAAGCGGAAAATAGGGTCAGTTACGGTTTGTGTTTCCAGGGAAAATGGTAGGAGAAAGCGAATAAATAGGAAGGAACAATGATGGGGCAGTATATAGCATAGATGATCGTCGTAGATCTCCTTACTCACAGAACCGCCCTTCACGCTACCACCTTTCACCCTGCTGCCCTTCATACCGCCATCCTTCACGCTGTCGCCCTTCACCCTGCTGCCATTCATACTGCCATCCTTCACGCTGCCGCACTTCACGCTGGCATTCTTCATGCTGCAGCCCTTTATATGGCCGCCCTTATTAATGGGTGTTGTGATTGTGGTTGTAGCTTACTTGGTAGCGGAAAGGAATGGAGTTCCAAACGCCTGTGGCTTTCCTTCGTTTTATTATAAAATATATAATATTCTATTTCGGGCCATGTGATAGCTATAGAGAGAGCGTGTATACAGCTCTGCTGCAGGAGATGGTCTGATCTGTAGTCTCGCTGGGACGTGATGCAGTGTGCAGTGTTGACGCTGCTGTTGACAACTGCTGCTGAGGTGAGTGCTGACAATATGCAGTTGATGAATGAAGTCACCACATGTGTTACCACGTGCGTCTAACTGCGTCCAACACCGCTCGGCACGCTATCATCGGCGTCCTCGATGATCACCCCATGTGTACCCACGTGCGTCCAAATGCGTCCAACACCGCTCGGCACGCTATCATCGGCGTCCTCGACGATCGCCACATGTGTGAGCACATGCGTCCAACACTGCTCGGCACGCTATCATTGGCATCCTCGACGATCACCACGTGTGTGACTATGAGTGTCCAACTGTGTCCAACACCGCTCAGCACGCTATCGTCGGCGTCCTCGACGATCACCACATGTGTGAGCACATGCGTCCAACACTGCTCGGCACGCTATCATTGGCGTCCTCGACGATCACCACGTGTGACCACGTGCGTCCAACTGCGTCCAACATAGCTCGGTACCTATCATGGCGTCTTCGATGATCACCACATGTGTGACCACGAGTGTCCAACTGTGTCCAACACGGCTCAGCACGCTATCATCGGCGTCCTCGACGATCACCACATGTGTGACCACGTGCGTCCAACTGCGTCCAACACCGCTCGGCATACTATCATTGGCATCCTCGACGATCACCACGTGTGTGACTATGAGTGTCCAACACCGCTCAGCACGCTATCATCGGCGTCCTCGACGATCACCACATGTGTGACCACGTGCGTCCAGCACAGCTCGGCACGCTATCATCGGCGTCTTCGATGATCTGCTTGATGTACTTCTTGGTTTTGTACATAACTAACATTTACGTACAGTTTTATCAATAGTGGCCTTAAACAAGCTTACAGATGTCCAACACCCTTCATATGGCCGCCCTTCACGCTTCCGCCCTTCACGCTGCCGATCTTCATATGGCCGCCCTTCGCATTGCCGACTTTCATATGACCGCCCTTCACGCTGCCACCCTTCTCACTGCCGACCTTCATATGACCGCCCTTCACGCTGCCGCCCTTCATGCTGCCCCCTTCATATGGCCGCCCTTCACGCTGCCCCCTTCATATGGCCGCCCTTCACGCTGCCCCCTTCATATGGCCGCCCTTCACGCTGCCGCCCTTCATGCTGCCCCCTTCATATGGCCGCCCTTCACGCTGCCGCCCTTCATGCTGCCCCCCTTCATATGGCCGCCCTTCACGCTGCCGCCCTTCATGCTGCCCCCTTCATATGACCGCCCTTCACGCTGCCGCCCTTCATGCTGCCCCCTTCATATGGCCGCCCTTCACGCTGCCGCCCTTCATGCTGCCCCCCTTCATATGGCCGCCCTTCACGCTGCCGCCCTTCACGCTGCCCCCTTCATATGA